GTTCCAAACGAATATGTGACTACTGAATATGATATAGATATTCAAAACGAAACAAATGAAGGTAAAATTTATTAGTCATACGATTTTGATTATACATGTACATTTCCGTAAGTTTTTTCATTAACAACGACAGAGTCTCAACATTTAAATATTGTATACTATTTTTCTTAACAAACACTAGATTTCAAAGAGCACAAAACGACCAGCAAACGTCCTATTGAATGTGTGTCGGAAGAATCAAATAAAAGGGGGAACGATTTCATTTTTATTGAATTAAGAGAAAATAATAAAAGAATGCGAGCAAATCAGTAGAATATCTTACAAAAACGAGGTTTTGGAACAATTATAAAGCATTACATCCATGACAAAAGGTAGGATCTAGAGAAAATATACGTAAATGCAAAGTTGTGTTAAAATTATTATACATGTATACGTATTATGCAATCAAAATTGTCATATACATACGTATGATCAAGAATTTCTGATTATATATTCAAATTTTTCTGTAATACATGACTTTAATATTACAATACTATATATAAAAAAAGTGCTAAACTTCATCTTAGAATTCCGTTGACATGTAATCATTAAATTTTACATTTAGTATCCTAAATTTGCATATTCTTTCTAATATGAGATGCTATATATTTGATATTATCTGGACTTAACCTTGAAATAGTTGTCACTGAAAATGTTTTGCTTCATTGTATTCATATTATCCATTGTTTTTTATCATCACTAATAGAAAAAAAGATCATAAACCTTCCTTGTCCTGTTTGCTTTTTTTCAGAGAGCGTTTTTGGTAACCTTTTTTTTATTTATCTCTAACTCATTAATGTAAGATTAAATTGAGCGATAGGCATATTTTTGTATGTGCTTTGAATAGATGGCCTTAAGAGACATATGTTTCTATGATTTTTCTCAAAGATTATTGAGAAAGTCATGGTTCTCACCTGATTATTTTATAGTTTTTGTGGTAACTTTGCCTTCATTTAATATTTAATACCTCAGTCTTTAACTTTGTATATTAATATAGTTAATTGTTAAGTTTTAATTGTGAGATATGATACTACTTTATTTTTTTATGTAATTGCAATCAGTAAGTGGAAAGGTTTAATTTTGAAAAGAGACAATAATGCTCTTATGATAATCAACTGCACTTGCAAAATGTTACACTAGTGCAAACCTGGTTTATAATAAAATTGTACCAACCACAGCACAAATATATTGCTAATTTCTATTGTTTAACATAACAAAATCATAAGAATTTAGCTTAAAAAATTGTACAATAAGACGTCAACAATAGATTCATTGCATCCAATTTCAAATTTCTATTACCAACATAAATAGTATATATATCATAAACTTTGTGATAAAGTATACTTTATACAAAGATTATTAAGTTACAAAAATTGTATGACTGTCACCGCCATTACTAAGGGAGTCCTGAATGCAGAAATAACCAGAAAATTTATTAGTTGAATATAATTGTAGTTAAATGATACTAAATTGCAAAATAAAAATAGAGCGTAGTTTACCATAAAACAGCGTATACCATTATCCCTAATGGACGTATCCTAATTAAATATAAAACGAGTTTATTAATAATGAAAATTGACCAGTTCCAAGTATTACGTTAAAGACAAATAAGCCTTATTACCTGGTGCCAGCAGATTTACATTGACCATCGTTGCTGGTTAAATTCTAAAATGCATAAAAGTTAAATAGGCTTTTAGCAACATGGTCGCATTACTAATTAACAGATTACGCGAGGGTATACCTGGGAACAGCATTTGCCATTAATAACAGTGTTGTTCTATTAGGAATTAAAAATGTTGTTGTTGTTGTTGTTGTTGACAATGTTAATTTGCAATTTTTACATTACAAGTATCAAAAAATTCAATTATATTACCTGAGGGCAGCATTGATCTTCAATACCGGTCATATTCTGAATACATCAAATAAGGAATCTCTTTAGTAGTGTTGATGTTAAAAGATAATATATTTAGATTTCAGAGTAAAAAGAATTAGTACTTACCAGAGGGCAACACACGCCATTAGTAACGTTCATATCCTACACAACAAAAAGTTCTTGTAAATAATAATAACAAATATTAAAGTTTTAACGTTTGACTGCAGAACGTGAATTACCTCAGCACAGCATGTGCCATTAGTAAGAATGGGCCTATCCTAAATAAGGTAAGTTAACATAGTCAGTAATGTTAAAATACTGCCTTATAAAGTAAAGCAGATTTACCAGTTGGCAGCATGTGTCAGCAACGTTAAGCGGCTTGTCCTAAATACATCAAATAAACATGTATGTTATTAAGAGCCTGGATACTACTATCACATTACAAATTAACAAAAACATTACCAGCTCGCAGCATTTTCCAAAACTGTTAATGGGTTTGTCCTAATTAGTAAAAAAGAAACAAAATTATTAAACTGACAGTACAGTCAACTACTTACATTACTATAAAAATCAAAGATAAAATATATTACCGGTTCGCAACATATGCCACCAACATTCAAAGGCTTATCCTAAATAGAACAAAGCAAATAGTGTTAGGAGATATTTATTATTCTAAATGCCAACACTTTAATAGGGAAAAACAAAGTATAATACCGGCTCGCAACATATGCCACCAACATTCAAAGGCTTATCCTAAATAGGACAAAACAAATAATGTTAGCGAAAGGTTTGTTATTCTAAGAGCCAACACTATTAACAAGAAAAACAAAGTATATTTACCGACTCGCAACATATGCCACCAACATTCAAAGGCTTATCCTAAATAGGACAAAACAAATAATGTTAGCGAGAGGTTTGTTATTCTAAGAGCCAACACTATTAACAAGAAAAACAAAGTATATTTACCGACTCGCAACATATACCATTGACATTAGACTGGTTCTGAACACGTCAAAAGTAGAACTTATCAGCAATTAAAAATATTCATATCATCTAATACTAATACAGAACAAGCATGTTACCTCCTCGCAGCATATGCCTCTAGAATTGACAGGTTTGTCCTGAATAACAAAACGTGTGTTAATATGTGATTTGTTGCTGATTTAACAGTATTGTAATTTAATATAAAAATATATATTACTCTAGGACAACATTGGTTACCACTGGCAATGGGTTTATCCTAAACGAAGATTATTATTATTATTAAATTGATAATATTATTCACATAACAACAATAAGACAATAAGGTAGTTACCGCAGAACAGCAAACACCATCACTTCTGTAAGACTCCTGAATTCGTCAAAATCAAAATTGTTAAAATTTGACAACTATTGACAGTTATTCAATTTCGTTTGACGCTTAAAAGATTACCTTGGCACAGCAAACGCCATTGACTGGAATTTTGTCCTACCGTAATAAAAATAATGTTAATAGATTTGAAAATTACGTACTCATATATGTATTAGAGTATGAAAACAGTGAGTGTATTACCATCGGGCAACAGTGCCCATTACTGTCAAGTCGACTCTGTATTATAAAAGTAGTTCTCATTATGTTAGATTTTAACCTTTAACCTTATTTTTTTTAATTGCAAATAAGCGCATTACCGGAGAGACGCATCTTTCTGTTCCATCATTGCAACAAACTGAACCCTTTACGCGTGAAAACAAAATAAAAGTAAAAGTAAAAATAAAAAATTTGTTAATGAACGTCGAACATATAGCTATTACGCTCGCAAATTGTAAGTGTAAAGAAAATATTACCTGAAGACAGTAATGAATACCGTCACTACAACAAGCTGCCCCCTGAAAAAGAACGATTAGTATATAAAATTAGTAATTGCTACTCTTTAAAATTTCCCAATGCGGTCGAATGTAAGGAGCCAGGTGGTAAATAAATTGTAGTACCGTAGGAGCGCAACCACCATTTTTGCAACAGACTGGATATGCCTGTAAAAGCGAATAATAATTTCTTGTTAGCTATCTTGATTTGTGTTAACGGTTGGTTAAAAATATTAATATTATAATTCAAAAAAAAGCAGCTTACCGCATCGCAGTAGGTAGAGGCTGAACAACATGTTGCACCCTGATTCAATAATGGAATACATTTAATATTATAGGAATTTTGCAACTAAAATTAAGGAAATTATATTACTCTTAAAGTAGGGAAAATGGTGTCTTACCGCAGGAGCGCACTTACTACTGCCACAAACTTTGGGTGCATACTGGATATGCCAAAATAGAAATGATTTATTAGTGCGTTTATTGTTACAATAAAAACATCACAAGAATGCTGAAATAAAACAAAAAAGTTTACGCTAGGACAACAGCCGTTTTGATAACAAATTCCGCTCTGATATGATAGGAATAAAAGAATGTTTAGTTCAATAACGCTTAATATTAGGATCTAAACGATTAACAGCAAATGAATGTTACCGTTCCAAGGGGACAACAGTAATTTGGACAACAACTGGAGCTCTGTAATAAAATTAGAAAAGTTGTTAGTATCACGTATAATTCAATTTATTACATAAGCAAGATTGTAAGTAAATAATAAACTTAACAGCAACAATAAATTAAGGCATTACCAGTGGACAACAACCACCACCAGAGCAAATGCCGTAACCCTAAACACGTCAAGAATAAATAGACACATATGATGAGTATTTTTAAGATTAGGCAACAGCACCAGATTTATGATGCTTGCTTGTCAATATATGCAGCACTACCAAAGATTATTCTGCCACCACTGCATATTAGATAACATCTCATTATTGAAGGCCATTGAAATTAACAGTATTGTGAGTGTATTTACCGTATTGCAAGTCTGGTCGTATTATAAAAAGACATCTTGTTAGTAGGGTAAAACGTTTAAAAGAAGCTTTGCAAAATAAGGTGTCGAAAAAAGACTGAACTCTCGTACTAAAGTTCACATTTGGTTAAAACATGACAATACGATTTACATTTCAGGTGAAGAATACTTTACCCCAGCAAATTTAAGCGGGTTATTCGGATCGCTCGAAGTTGTATCAAATCTAGTGGTTGCATTGGTCGCAATATCTTGAAGTATTTTTGCTGGAAGTAATTCTGTATATAATTGATCTGGAACATTATCGCTACGAGCAGCACCCAAGACAATGAATGCAATTATCAAAGACACCAATAAATTAAGCCGTTGCATGATTTTATTATTAAAGTTTAGACGATCAATTTTCATAACACCGTTGCGTGAACAGGACTCAATCAGTTGTAATAGCAGTCAATTAAAGCAAATATGTGCGCGTATTAAAATACGCAATCACAAATATAGGGACACTGATCAAGAATTGCAAAAAAACGTAAAATCGACGATTGTCTTTGAGAAGAACTAACGGCTGTTAAGGAGAGAAGAAGCGCTCTATTTATAGTCATAAACGTGCATGCAACTCGTACTCGATTTGTGGAACCTGTAAAATTAACAATGTAATCTACAAATGTTCTCAATGTAACACACACTAAGAATTATATTTGCAGTTACAAACAAGTAATTTTCAATTAACTCTGATTAAATTAATATCAATTATCGTCATATTAACGAATAAAATCTGCTTATCTTTAACCACATACCGATACGTACAATCTTAAATAGCGAGATATATTTGGTTAACCAAACCGGTTGCAAATCATGAAGTTTGTTAGTGACGCAATAATGGTTTGAATGCCGACATTTATTAATAACGATAATGGGGGCTAATTCACTAATATTATTTAAAAAAAATAATAGGTTTTTGAGGTTTTTAGGGTTTCTAATTTACACTATTCCAAGTTTCGTATTGCTGGTTGTCAGTTTTCTACACTATATAACGGTTAAAATTACTACAATTGCTACCGTTATCAATAATACGCTCGCTATTGCGATTCTAATGATTTTCTTAC